TCAAAGACCACAGCCTTCAGTATGGATTACACCTCAACATAAAGAAAACAAAAATCCTCACAACTGGACCAATAAGCAACATCATGATAAACGGAGAAAGGTTGAAGTTGTCAAAGATTTCATTCTACTTGGCTCCGCAATCAACACTCATGGAAGCAGCAGTCAAGAAATCAAACAACACATTGCATTGGGCAAATATGCTGCAAAAGACTTCTTTAAAGTGTTGAAAAGCAAACATGTCACTTTGAGGACTAACGTGCACCTGACCAAAGCTGTGGTATTTTCACTCACCTCATACATGTATGTGAAAGCTGGAGAATGAATACAGAAGACCGAAGAATTGATGCCTTTGAATTATGGTGTTCATGAAGACTATTGACTATACCACGGACTGCCAGAAGAACAAACAAATCTGTCTTGGAACAAGTACAGTCAGATTGCTCCTTGGAAGCGAGTATGGTGAGACTCACATACTTTGGACATGTTATCAGGAGGGATCAGTCCCTGGAGTAAGACATCATGCTTTGTAAGGGAGAGGGTCAGCGGAAAAGAAGACCCTCAACAAGATGGATTGACACAGTGGCTGCAACAACGGGCTCAAGCATAACAATGATTGTGAGGATGGCACAACATTTGGCAGGGTTTTGTTCTGTTATACAAAGGGTCAGTATGAGTTGAAACCAACTCAACAGCACCTAACAACAACAACATAGTGGCTGGCCCTTGTGAGAGAATTTATTTTTGCTTCACATAAAATGTCCCCTTCATTTGGATATACAATAACATTGCAATAGATTACCCAAATTATAAAGAGAACGGATACATTTACTTTATAATAGAAAAAGTTTAAAAGTGCTAATCAATAGTGTATAATCTGGAGTAAGAACTCTGCTAACATAACCAAAAAATATGTAGCAAAATGCCTGTATCTCTGTTTTTTTTTTGGTAGAAGGAAAAAGTAATATAAGTGATATATTAGTGCACTATATTCTATATAAAGACTAGGGTCCACAAACCTTGTATTTTTAAACAATAAATTTTCATTTTTTAAAGATTTTGGCACATATATACATATATGCATGTATACATATTACTCTACAAATTTTGCTATGTTTATTAATGAAAACTTACCTCTTTTTTTTTTTTTCTAATTTGATAAGACAAATGCTCTATAGGGACTTGCTTGAATATAACAATACATGAACTCACCTGTTCATGAGATTTTAGCTTCTCCTTCATAAGATCAGCATTTCTTTTTAGTTGTTCATTTTCATCTGTGTAAAGATCATCAGTGAGCATCTTAAATACATAGCATTTTTAATTAATATGGAAATATGTTTAACATTTTAAGCTTCCACCCTTATATGCATTCATAAATATGCATCCAGCACCTACTACACATCAGAAAAATTATAGCTAAAGATTTCAATAACTGGTAATTGATAGAAAATATGGGTACCGAAGTCTTAAAAAACACTGTCAACAAACTCAGACTAACATTTAAATAATATTACATCAAAAGCTGCAGAATATGCCTTCTTTTCAAGCTCAAAAGGACAATTCACCAAGGTAGACTGTATGCTGGGCCATAAAACATGTTACAATACATGTAAAAAGACTGAAATTGTAAAGAACATGTTCTCTGGACACAATATATTTTTCTTTGGATAAAATGTATTTAAATTAGAAACTAATAGTAAAAAGATACCCAGAAATCCTCCATATTTGGAAATTAAACAACACAATTTGAAATAATGCAAAGTAGAAATTTGAAAATATTTAAAAGTGAGTGATAATAAAAGCAAAATACATAAAATTAATGGAATGCAGCTAAAGTAGTGCTTAGAAGGAAACTTATAGATCTAACTGCTTACATTAGGAAAAAAGAATGCTTGAAAAATCAGTGATCTAAGCTTCCACCTTAAGAAGTTAGAAAAAGGAGAGGCAGAACCAACATAGCATCCTAGACAGACGCATCATGCCATCCCTCTTCAAAAAAGACCCGAAAAACTAAGTAAAATAGCTACAAACATCAATCCTGGAACTCTAAGCATCATAGGAAGGGATAAAGAAATAGATCAAACACCAAATGGAAGAAGAAACTGAAGGAAAACAGAGAAAGAGGAGAGATACAAAGTGGAGGTTTCCCTGCCAACTAACATGACACAGCATCACTATCCTGCAGCACAGGCAGCAACAATCCCGGACAGGGAGTAGGGGAAGGTAACTTCACAGAGGTCCCAACAGGAGACAGAGCACCTGCCTTGAACACCACCCCCACTTCCCACTGGCTCTCACTGTGCCACCACAGCTAGAGTGTCCCCAGCTCAGGCTTGCTGCCACACCGGGCCCACAATGCCCCTCCCCTCCTACCACTTGACCAGTTGCTGAACAGAGGGAAGTGAGCCTTACCACTCCCCATCTGACACCCCTGTCTATCTGGCAAGGGGCTGTGAATGCCCCCACACTGTGGACCAACATCAGGTGGCAGACAGTATCCACCCAGTCCACCCTCAGCCATCTTGCCAAACCAGTGTACAGTGAAGTGGAATTGCCCTACCTGCTGATGCTCTGCCTACCTGGACAAGGTAGTGAAACCTATCATGCCCACAGAATAGCAACTTGCCAAAACCAAAGATAAAGAAAACAATCCTGAGAGCACTTCAAGAAAAACGAAAAGTTACATACAAAGAGTAAACAATAAGACTAAGCTCTGATTACTCGGCAGAAACTAAGCAGGTCAGAAGGCAATGGGATGACATATATAAAATCTTGACAGAAAAAAAACTGCCAACCAAGAATAATATATCCTGCAAAACTCTCTGTCAAAGATTATAGCAAAATTAGGACATTTCCAGATAAACAGAAATTAAGGGTATTTGTAAAAAGCAAACCAAACTTATAAGAAATATTAAAGGGACTCCTTCAGTTAGAGAACCAACAGCATCAGACAACAACTGAAGTCTAGGACACAGGACAGCATCAGCCAGATACCAACCTAGGTAAAGAACTCTCAATAATAAAACAGGGCTAAAAGACTTAAAACAGGGAAATAGAGATGTCAATCTATAAATGATGACAATGTCAAAACAATAAAAGGGGGGACTAAACAGTGTAGGTATATACCCTTAGGAAGATAAGAGTAAATTTTAGTGTAACCACAAAGAAAGTTAACAAATTACTCATCAGAATAAAAAAGAAGAAAAACATAAAGTCTCAATAAACACAAAATCTATAATAATGAAAGAAAAAAAATCCAGAAACAAAAGGGACTTAGCACCGAAAAGTAAGAGGAACATAAGTAAACATAAGTAAAGAAAACATAAGTACCACAAAAAAATCACAACAATGTAATAGCAATAAATTCATATCTATCTATATAATCATACTGAATGTAAATGGTTTAAATGCACCTGTAAAGAGACAAAGAGTGGCAGAATGGATAAAAAAGCAGGACTCATCAATTTGCTGCCTGTAAGAGATGCATCTTAGACACAAACACATAAATATATTAAAAATCAAGGATGGAAAAATATATTAAGCAAACAATAACCAAAAAAGAACAGGAGTGGTAATACTAATCTCAGATAATATAAACTTCAAGGAAAAATTAACCATAAAAGACAAGGAAGGACATTATATAATGATTAAAGGTACAATTCCCATGCATCTGTCAGTCTATCATACTGTGGTGGCTCGTGTGTTCCTGTGATGCTAGAAGATATGTCACCAGTATTTCAAATACCAGCAGGGTCACCCATGGCAGATAGGTTTCAGCTGAGCTTCCAGACTAAGACAGACTAGGAAGGAGGACCTGGTGGTCTACTTCTGAAAAAATTTAGCCAGTAAAAATCTTATAAATAGCAATGGAACATTATCTGATACAGTGCTGGAAGATGAGCCCCTCAGGTTGGAAGGCACTCAAAATACCACTGAGGAATTGCTGCCTCCTCAAAGTAGAGTTGACCTTAATGACATGGATGGAGTCAAGCTTTCGGGACTTCATTTGCTGATGTGGCATGACTCAAAATGAGAAGAAACAGCTGCAAACATCCATTAATAATCAAAATGTGGAATGTATGAAATATGAATCTAGGAAAATTAGAAATTGTCAAAAATAAAATGGACCACATAAACATCGATAGCCTAGGCATTAGTGAGCTGAAGTGAACTGGTATTGGCCATTTTGAATTGGACATTCATATGGTCCTGGAATGAGAAATTGAAGAGGAATTGCATTGAATTCATCGTCAAAAGGAACATTTTAAGATCTATCCTAAAGTACAATGCTGTCAGTAATAGGATAATATCCATACGCCTACAAGAAAGACTAGTTAATATGGTTATTATTCAAAATTATGCACCAACTACTAAGGCCAAAGATGAAGACATTGAAGATTTTTAACAACTTCTGTAGTCTGAATTTGATCAAATGTGCAATCAAGATGCGTTGATAATTACTGGTGATTGGAATGTGAAAGTGGGAAACAAGAAGCAACACTAGTTGGAAAATATGGCCTTGGTGAATGCTCTTGAATTCATTCTATGAAGCCAGCATAACCCTGATACTAAAGCCAGGCAAAGACACCACAGAAAGAAAGAAAGAAAATTACAGACCAATATCTCTCATGAATATAGATGCAAAAGCTCTCAACAAAATTCTAGCCAAAAGAATTCATCATCATATCAAAAAAAATAATACACTATGACCAAATAGGATTCATACCAGGTATGTAAGGATGGTTCAGCATTAGAAAATCAATAAACATAATCCACTACATAAATAGAACAAAAGAAAAGAATCACATGATCATCTCAATTGACGAAGAAAAGGCATTTGATAAAGTCCCAAACCCACTCCTGATAAAAGCTCTAAATAAAATAGGAATAGAAGGGAAATTCCTCAACATATTAAAGGGTCTCTATACAAAACCAACAACCAATTGAGACAGGCTGAAACGGGAACAAGACAAGGATGCCCTTTATCACCACTCCTACTTAACATTGTGCTGGAAGTCCTAGTTAGAGCAATAAAGCAAGAAAAAAATAAAATAAAATAAAAGGCATCCAAATTGGAAAGGAAGAAGTAAAGCTATCCGTATTCACTGATGATACGATCCTATACAAAGAGAACCCTCAAGATTTCACAAGAAAACTACTGAAACTAATAGAAAGATTTAGCAGTGTAGCAGGATACAAGATGAACATACAAGAATCAGTTGGATTTCTATACACCAACAAAGAGAATTTCAAAAAGGAAATCAGGAAAACAATACCATTTATAATAGCCCCTAAAAAGATACAATATTTAGGAGTAAATCTAACCAGGGACATAAAAGACCTATACAAAGAAAACTACAAAACACTACTGCAAGAAACCAAGAGACCTACATAAATGGAAAAACATACCATGCTCACGGATAGGAAGACTCAACATTGTGAAAATGTCAATCTTTACAAAAGCGATCTACAGATATAATGCAATTCCGATCCAAATACCAACAACATTTTTTAACAAGATGGAAAAATGAATCACCAATTTTACATGGAAAGAAAGAGGCCCTGGATAAGCAAAGCATTATTGAAGAAAAGAACAAAGTAGGAGGCCTCATATTACCTGATTTCAGAACCTGCTATACAGCCAGGGTAGTCAAAACAGCTTGCTACTGGTACTCTGACAGACATATAGACCAATTGAACAGAATCTTGAACCCAGATGTAAACCCATCCACCTATGGTCAGCTGATCTTTGACAAAGGCCCAAAGTCCATTAAATGGGGGAAAAGACAGTCTTTTTAATAAATGGTGCTGGAAAACAGGATGTCCATCTGTTAAAAAAAAAACAAAAAACAGGACCCATACCTCACACTGTACACAAAAACTAACTCAAAATGTATCATAAACCTAAATATAAAACCTAAAATGATAAAGATCATGGAAGGAAGAAAAGGGATAATGCTAGAAGTCCTAATACATGGCATAAATTCAATACAAACCATAACTAACAATTCACAAACACCAGAAGATAAACTAGATAACTGGGAGCTCCTAAAAATTAAATACTTATGCTCTACAAAAGACTTCACCAAAAGAGTAAAAAGAGAACCTACAGACTAGGAAAAATTTTTTGGCTATGACATATTCGACAAGGGTCTAATCTCTAAAATCTATAGAATACTTCAACCTCCAAACAACAAAAAGACAAATAATCCAATTAAAAGGGGGAAAAGGATGTGAGCAGACACTTCACCAACGAAGACACTCAGGCAGCTAA